GAATAAATATTTATTATTACTATTAATAAAAGATTTTGCAGCTAAATCCAAACTTTATTCATTACAAAAGGAAATTTCCTGAWTTCTAAAGGTTTTACAAGGAAACAAGTGAAAAACATCAAGAATTTAGAATAAATGAAAAAAATCGAAGCTAAATAGGTAAGAATTGGACATAGAAATGTAAATTAAAATGAACTAAACAGTAAAATAAGCTGTGTGCAGAAGTCTGATGAATTATCATTATTATATATTTTATTACTTTATCTGCATTTATGAGGCTGACAAATTTAAATATTTATTTTAATTKAAACATTTTATTTCCACACGTTGTTTTATTTTTAATAAAACAAGAGAGTTTTTACACTATTTTAAACATCTTCTGTGAAACTACAAATTCTTTGTTTTAATTTAGTAGTGTTTTGTTCTGGTTCTGCTAATAAAGGTTTATTCTACCAGAACCCAGACCGACTGAGAGCTCGAAGAAAACCTGAACGATTTATATAATAAAAATAAAAATATTGGTTGACAAGAAACATTACATCAAAACCAGAGGAGACTCAGGGACAGGTGAGAGTGGGTGGAGCYAGAGCTGAAGGACAACCTGACTGAGTGAAGTGAACTGATGACAGGAAGTAAAAACAACAAACAAATAACAGTAAAAAAAACACTTGAATCAAAACTTTACCAGGAACAAGTAAAACATGAATCCTGACTCAGAGTATCTGTTTTCTCCTCCTGGGTGAAGTTTTTCTGAATCGTTTCTGTTCCTCAGCTCAGTCCAGCTGTCCTTCTGGATGGACCCAGTCTGGGACTCGTTGCTTCCTCTTCATAAACTCTGACAGAGACTGGATCACTGCTGAGGTCAGCTGGGACCACTTTATGAAATTACTTAAACCTTCATGTGTTTATTTGTTGATGGATTAAAAAATCAGCTTAAAAAACAATGATTCCAGTAGAGAAATGATTAAATATTACATATATTTATTATTTGTATCTTATATTATTTTGAATTAAACTGTGATTCTTTAGTTTTTAATCTGGTATTTCTGAAAAGTCTTTAACCTGATTCAATGATCTGGCTCATCAGTCTACTGCTTTTCCAATTAGTCTTAATCTGATTCAGTGATCCGATTCATTTGAGTCTGCAGCTTTCCTAATGAGTCTTTAATCTGATTCAGTGACTTGACTCATTTGAGTCTGTAGCTTTCCCAATGAGTCTTTAATCTGATTCAGTGACTTGGCTCATTTGAGTCTGTAGCTTTCCTAATGAGTCTTTAATCTGATTCAGTGACTTGACTCATTTGAGTCTGTAGCTTTCCCAATGAGTCTTAATCTGATTCAGTGATCCGATTCATTTGAGTCTGCAGCTTTCCCAATGAGTCTTTAATCTGATTCAGTGAACTGACCTAGTCTTCAGCTTTTCCAAAGAGTCCTTTATCTGAGTCAAGGATCTGACTCAGTCTACAGCTTTTCCAATGAGTCTTTAACCTGATTCAGTGACTTGACTCATTTGAGTCTGTAGCTTTCCTAATGAGTCTTTAATCTGATTCGGTGAATTTCAGCTTTTCCAAAAAGTCTTTAATCTGATTCAATGATCTGACTCAACTGACTTTGCTCTTTGTTTGCTTTCTGTTCACTCAGCGTCACTGCATTGAATTGGGTGGAAACCTGGCCTCTTTCCACGACTACAACCAGCTGGTCTTCCTCCGTAACCTGGTGTACAGTGCAACACGATCCTACAGAAACACCTGGGTTGGAGGCACTGATGCAGTAAAGGTGAGCGCTGTAATACCTGAAAACAGACTTGTTTTGTCTCAGGGTTGGTGCAGGACTTAGACAAACTCTAACTGTTGTTCTTTCAGGACGGAGTGTGGTTCTGGTCCGATGGTTCGAAGTACGACTACAACAACTGGTACAGAGGAGAACCCAACAATGCTGGTGGACCAGAGAACTGTATGGAGATCAACTTTGGAGGTAAAAAAGATCAAGTTATACTCAAAGAGAAGCGAATATAATAGATTTAAATTAAGTTTATATTAAAGGGGTGTTTGTGTCTCGTTCTTTTAACATCTAAATCTCCAAAACAAAGAGTATTTTCCATCAGAAACCTCTGACTTTACAGGAATTTCAACCAACGATGAAAGATGTACCAGCAGCCGTCCTTACATCTGCTCCAGAAAACGCTAACCCTCTACTTCCTGTCCTGAAACCTCTGACGTGATGTCACTTCCTCTGAGACGTCAAGTCTCGATGACGCCTCTGATAGGACAGTTAATGTCTCAAATATTTAAATAAATTCCTCTCAGCAATCTGAAGTGTTTGACATTTATTTTTAAATCCTTTCTCTGTGGTTTTTAAACTGTTTTAACTCCTTTAGATCATTTTAGATTAAAACATCCAARTGTTTTAAAATAACTCTGAGACTTCACTTCAACTCTGAGTTGTTACAAGAAGTTTAATAATAACAAAAAATAATCATAATAATCTAAATGCTCAGTTAAAGTCTGAGTTCTTTCAGTAATAAAATCAAAAAGTTTTTTGTCTCTGTTTAACTTCAGCAAAGTAAAAATAAAGGACTGATTACAATTTCAAAATAAAATTCACAAAACTCTCTTATTTATTTACATCCACACCTGTTCCCACAGAAAACACCTGAAATAAGTTAAAAACAATATTTCTGAAGAGTTGACAGAGTTCATTAGTTACAGCAGGTTGATGGTTCAACATCAGAGCACTTGACCTGACCGGTCAGCAGGGGGCGCTGCTCAGCTTCTGTTGCCTTGGTGATCCATCCTGAAGTTACCTGCTGACCCTCACATTCATCCTTTTAAACTTTTAACATTTAAACTTTGTTCCTCAGAGCTTCAAGATGTTTTAGGAAATAAAAAAAGGTATTTTTTTCTGATCATCTGATGAAGCCTCAACAATTTTCATTAAAACTCAAAGTGAGTTTTGTTAAAGAGGAGGAGCTGTTTTAACAGGAAATAATTTGTTGTGAAACCTAAAATAAGAACAAAAGAAGGTGCAGTAGGAAACCACCAGAGTCAACATGATCGTCCCTCTGATCGTCTTCTTCTTCCTCTGTGAGTACATTTAGTTTTATTTCTTTAACTTTCAGCTCTTGGCTCAGATTAAAGGATAATTGTGTCTTTAAACAGAAAGCTGATCAAATCCCAGAATAAGGTTGATGAAGATGAGTTTGTTGATGTGTTTCTACTTCCTGTTAAAGTCTGTCTGAGCCTCTCTCTGGCTCGGAGCCTTTCAGAAGCCGGACCTTTGTCATTTCTCTGTCAGACACTTTCCATCATGGTGACATGTGCTGATGCTGCTAACATGCTTCACTTTCTGACTGAAGGTCAGGATTTTACTGACATCTGAACGTTCCTCTCAGAGTCTGTGTTCCTGAAGCTCAACATGTTGACAGATGTGAGGCATCAAGTGTAAAATAAAATGCTGAAATGGTTTCAAACACATTTTCATTATTTCGCTCACTGAGTGTCTAACATCATGTYGCTCATTGTTCTCACGTTTTGATCACTCTACTAAACGTTAAATTTAAATGATAAATGTTCTGTATAAAGGTGCTGTTGCTACTGGATACTGACATCATAGGTTTGTATTGTATTTCATTTATTGTGCAAATAAACAAACAAATGAAAAAAAACTAAAATTAAGGCTGAATTAAAGGCTGAACTCCATTCTGTAACAAYTAAACTTTAACATTTAGTTTCAACACTTAAGATTTAACTTTTACATTTAGATTTACATATATGGTAGCAGCCAGTCAAGCCTTACTGATGGTTAAGGTGTTTTTATGTTTCCAAACTTCAACCAACGTAAGAACTGCAGCAACAACAAAAAATAAATAAATAAATAAATAAACAAAAACATAAAAGAAAATTACAATGTTGTTCCTCCATTTCCAAAGTTTGGTAAAAGAACATTAACATCTCCTCTTTTTATTCGAACATCTTCTTTAAACACATATTTACGTTGTTCCTCCTCAGCTGGAGCTAAACTCTTTGCCTTTTATTGATCCTTGTTTTAATGTTGCACCATCAAGCTAACTACATTCATGTCCTTCAAAATAAAACACTTCCAGGTTTATAGGAAATTACATAAATAAAAGCACAAGGAAATAAGATTGCGAGACACCTAGAGGCGCGTCCACCACAAGCAAGTCCTTTTAGCGCAGCACGCAACAAAGCAGAAGGTGCGGTTGAGCGCTATCTGTGTATGCAGCGCGTCCAAAGCAGCCAACGCTTGAATTCAAATATCTGAACTTTTGCTGCTCAACGTGCCGTGTTAACCAATCAGAGAGACTCGGTTTTCCACATGACGGTTTCCTGATTGTTGCCCTCTAACCTGAAACAGATGAACAGGAGCTCTTTAGCTGAAATCGACCATCTACAGTTGGTGTTCTGGCTGGAGATATCAGCTCACAAATGGGTCAGTGGCTCGTTCAACTGACCGCAGTGTTAAACTGGGCTCGGGTCAATAAAATATTTTGTCAGCTCGCTGCTCCTGGAGTGGTGAAACTAACCGAACAGACCCCTCTAAATTATCTGGTGAATTAATATCTGGTGAGCGCAACGCTCGCTTGCTTTTTAGTAAATAAACCAAAGCCATTTTCTTTAATTTATCTTTATCTCATCCGCCGTTGAGACAGACTGGAAAAAACCAAGACGTTCCTCCCTCTTCAGGTGCGCGTCTATTCTGTGTCCCGGTCTGAACGTAGCACGTCCAACTTGAGGCATTGGGCACATTTTTGCTGCTCAAAACAGGTTTGGTGTGAACGTAGCATTAAGGAAAGAGGAGGAGCTGCGTCACTTTTTAACAGGAAACAATTTGTTTCAATCCTAAAATAAACAAGAAGAAGGTGCAGCAAGAAACCATCAGAGTCGACATGCACTCTCACACTGCTTGTACTGAGACTGAATGGCCCATAACAACGGACCCCACAATACTCTCATAGCACCCCCCACAGTTTAACTCAAGGAATCCGTTGAATGCCTTCTCCAAGTCTACAAAACACACGTAGACTGGATTAGCAAACTCTCATGACCCCTTGAGGACCCTAGTGAGGGTAAAGAGCAGGTCCAGTGTTCCACGTCCAGGACAGAACCTGCATTGTTCCTCCAGAATCTGAGGATTGACCATCGATCGGAATCCCTTCTCCAGCACCCCTGAAAAGACCTTACTGGGGAGGCTAWGGAGAGTGATGCCCCTGACAATGGAGCACCCCCCACCCCGTTTGAAGAGGGGGAGCCACCACCCAGTCTGTCAATCCAGTGGGACTGACCCTGATGTAAATATAATGTTGTAAAGGTATGTCAACCAGGACAGCCCCCCAACATCCAGAGCCTTGAGGAAATCAGGGCGGCTCTCAACCACCCCTGTAGCCCTGCCACCTTGGATGTTTTCAACTACCTCAGCAACCTCCGCCCCAGTTGTGAACAGAACAACCCTGAAGTCCTCACACTCTGCTTCCTCCATGGAAGACATGCCGGTGAGATCGAGAAGATCAGAAAAGTATTCTTTCCACCTCCCAGCGACATCACTGGTTGAGGTCAACATCACCCCCCCTTCAGGAAATAAAAATCCATCAACCAACCATCATAACAGAAAATTTGAAAATTCTGTGAGCAAAAACTGGACAGTCCTCTCAGAGACATGTACTGAACATTAGGGGTCGACCGATACATCGGCCGGCCGATATTTTTGGCCGATATTTGCGTTTTTTCCTTGTATCGGTATCGGCCGATACACTGTCCGTTCGGCCGACCCGTTCTTTGGGTCACACGAGCGCATGTGTCCGCCCCTTCCCCCGGGGAGAGCGCAGCAGCTAATGTTGTGAGACAGAGTGCTAACAACAACAAGGGTGAGTTATGAACTATAAATGTGCTTTAACTGTATAATTTAGCTGTTTCTACCCTCTGTGTTGGAATATGAAGGAAGAGAGAACAGCTGTGTTTAAGTTTCTTTTCCAGACGAGAGCGCTGCAACATGTTTCACTTTCACTTTCACACCACACTGTAATCAGCGTGTCTGTGTTGTTTTTCTTTTTAAAAATGATGGAGCTGCTCACATGAGGCATAGAAAAACACCTCTATTGTTCTCCCTGCTGGATTAAAATAAAAAAACTTTCTGTCTTTTCTCGCTGAACGTTTTAGCGAGCGCAGCCGTCCACCATCATGTGTACCAGACACTGCTCACATCACGTTTACTGGGACCGCAGTGGTGATGCTGGTTCTCTTCGGTGTACATTTCAAACTGTGATCTAAAGTTAACATCAGCTGGTTTAAATGCATTTTTTGCCTGGTGTTAAAAACGGGAGCAGCAGACTGAGGCAGAGATGCTGTGAGCGCTGTGTGTGTGAAGNCTTGAAACATCACTAGCCCTGAAGCTGCTGGTAGACATCGCGGTTGGAATTATCAAAGGTTTTTGACACCAGAGAGACACCGTAGCAACTCCTTTGCGTTTGGAAGTGGGGGGTGGGGGGAGGACCAGGGAGGATGATTCAACCACTCAACCACTAGATGTCGCTGAGAACAACAAATCCTACACACTGTGCCTTTAGGTTTAAACAAAATCTTAAGTTTTATGTTGGTTTGAAAAGTTCACACTTGGTTCATTTTCAAAAGTCTTAAAACTTGCCAAGGTTTTACTGTTTTTAACAGGTGCTGTTTTTTGCTGATTGAGACGGTTTTCACCAAATGTCTGAAACTCCCAGACTAATCATTTCTAAGTCCACCTGTTACTAACCCTTCAAGGTCACGCCCGATAGTGCCCTCTCTTCTCTTTCTCTCCTTAGTTACTACCAACAGGCGTGCCTCCCCAGTCAGTGTCCGTCTTCGTTCCAAGCGAAGAGGAGCTGAGTTTTTCCCCCTCAGGAAAAACCAGCATTGGTGATAAGATTTCAGCTCATTTTTCCAACGAGCGATCTTATCCCCCCAGTTCATGACACTGCCAGTTGTGGACCAAATTACCAGCAAACTCCAGAAAGTTTGTTCACAACTTCTATAGAGACCACGAGAAGCTGATATAGTCAATCACTTGAAGTCTGGCAGCCTGGCGGTTCCGGTGATTCTAAGCAGATCCCCAACAGGAAGCAGGTCAGCTTCCATCACGCTTAACCTGACTTGAAGTCTACAAAAGGTAAAGCTGAACTTGGTTGATTAAGAGAGTGTCTGGGTCCAGGCTGT